GAAAGGGTGGAGCTTTTATTTTTATTTTTTTATTTTTTGAGTAGGAGTCTCACTCCGTCACCCAGGCTGGGGCTCAGTGACACGCTCACGGCCATTGCAGCCTTGACTTGCTGAGCTCAGGTGATCCTTCCTCCTCAGCCTTCCAACCACGCCTGGCTAATTTTTTTGATTTATTGTGGAGATGAGGTCTTGCCAAGTTGCCCGAGCTGGTCTCAAACCCGTGGGTGGGCTCAGGTAATCCTCTCACTTTGGCCTCCCAAAGTGCTGGGATGACAGTCATGAGTCACCGTGCTCGGCGGGAGTGGAACTTTTAAAACGTGGATACTTGCTGTTGTCTCCGTACAAACAAACACCTCTATAATCCCAGCGGTTTGGGAGGCTGTGTGGGAGGATTGCTTGAGGCCATGAGTTCGAGACCTGCCTGGGCAACAGAGCAAGACCCTATATCTACAAAAAAAAAAAAGAAACATTAACCAGGTGTGGTGGCAGCACCTGTAGTCCCACTTGGGAGGCTGAGACAGAAGGATCACCTGAGCCCAGCTGGAAAAGCTGTGGTGAGTTGATTGTGCCACTGCCCTCCAGCCTGGGCAACAGAGCAAGGCATTGTCTCTAAAAATAAAATAATAAAATAAAATAGTTGAATCCTGTCAAACAATTGATGGATACCAATTACCCCAGGGATGTTATGAACGGAACAGGCTGTTGAATGGATTTTATCATTTCTGCGATGACCCCACGTGCATGCATGTAGACTTGTGCAGACACGGTTGAAGCTTTAATTGTGTAACAGATGCCCCCAGGGCTCCCCCCTTGTTTACTGAGGCACAGTTCCTTGTGCCTCTCCTTCCCTGGCAGGCGGTGGACTGCCCCTGGGTTCGATCGACCCTCTGGCCCTCCCTTAAGGGGCAACTCCCACTCCCACGCTGGAGGGGTTCCCTTGCCCAGCCTGGATGGAGCCGACTTCCCAGGGTGACTCCGGGCTACCCACGTCCTGTGCAAAATGAACGAGGGGCCAACGACTAAGAGCTGGAAGACCATGACAGCAGGTCATGGTGCCAGCATGGGGCCCTTCTGAGGGACCCCAGGCTGCACGACCCCAGAGCCATCCCAGTGGGACCCCCAGAGGGACTGCACCCTGGGGACTCTCGTGGGCCTCTGCTCCCCCCTCATCTGACCCACTCGCCAGTCTCCCTTCCTCACACCCCCACAAGATTCCCCCGGGAACCTCCCTCCCGAGTCTCCCTTGAAGGGTCTCCTTTCCTCCCCAAACAGGGAGGCGCGTGACCGAGTGCCAGGACACTCCCAGGTGCCGGGGTCAGAGCTGAGTCAACGCCCTGTCCCAGCGACACCTGCCCCACCTCCCACCCCCAGAGCAAACAGAGACAACGTCTCGCAGGACACCAGAGACCCAGCGTCTGTCCTGCTGTTTTATTATTCTATAACTTTCTTCCACCTTCTGCTAACACTAGGGCTTGGGCACGCCCAGCTTAAGACCACTGGGGGGTTAAAACCGTGGCTCACACCGTCAAGGGCAAGTTTGCTTCCATTTCCTGGTGGCTGGATTCACCTTGAGGGTGTTCAGGATGGCTCGCCCCGCCCCCACCTTCCCCTCCCCCCCCGCACCAGAGCTGGACTGGGAAAAAGAAATCTGTCCAAAGTGCCAAGATGCTGGACTCTTAGAAAGGTGCTTCGAGCATGCTCACACGGTGGTGGCTTCTTCTCTGGATGAAGAGCTGGTGGGCTGCAGGGTCTTGCTTCCAGGATGGAAGGGTGGGGACCAGGAGCACAGGGGGCCAGCCAGGCGTCCCGTCTCGAAGTCTCTCTGGAGTCTTGCTCTGCCGAGCTGAATGCAAACTTTGGGGGTCAAACTGTTCTTCCAGATGTTTCCAAGGCTTAGCAGAAGGTGAAGGAAGGTTCTCGCACACCGGCTGTAAAAGAAACAGAGGAGGAATGTGAGAAGACAACAATAGATTTAGGTTAAGAGCATGCTATTGAGAGACCCAAGAAACCAAGAAACTTATCTGCTGTAAAAGTAGCGTTTAGTTCACTGTATTTCATATATCCCCACCTCATGTTTACTATATATTTTGTGTATTCCTACCTCATGTATTTTATGAAATCTTAGTACTTTAAATTCTACCTCAAATGAAATCTTAGTACTTTAAATCCTATCTCAGACCCCGTAGAATTAGGCATATGTCGGGTGCTGGGTCGTGACCAATAATGGCGTAAGCAGTGTTTGTATTTAGAACTCTTGGGTTAAGCATCGTCAGCCCCAAATTAGTAGGCTAACTTATGCTTTTGCAACGGGATGTAAATGATAAAGCGATAAGCCCCTTTCAGACATTCCTACAAGGTGGCAGCAGACTCAGAGGCGCCAGCTGCTCTCTATCACCGGTTTTTATCCCAGTGATAATTTACATGCAGTGGCTATGTAAACCTGCAGGGAACAAAGACTTTTATATAAGAAACCGCCTTGCTATAATACACTTGTGATATTTTATAAATTCCCAGAATTAGTATATGATTTTCTACCCCACATTCACTGTATGTGTTTGCAGCATTCATATTTAAAACTTTGTTAAAAGTTTGGCTTTTGTTGTCTCATAATGACCATGTTATGTTATGTAAATGTTAAGCAAACAAGCTTTCCTAAGCATACCTTGGGATGGAAACTTAAAGGGCTAATGTAACCCTTTGCCTGCCGGCTCAGGTTACTTCATACGCAGGGACTGCATGGACCTAACTTATCTAACATTCCACTCGGCCCATTAAGTGGGTTTCTGTCAATCACGGGCAGCACCCACCAATACCAATTGTTCCTGTACCCATTAGGAGAAATTACCCAATCATGTAAAATCAAGTTTGGAGTTCTTTCCCCTCCCTCTGTAATTGTGCATAAAAACTGCTTGCCATTATGAATCAGGGCTCTCGTCCCTGAAGCTGCTGCTTCGGGCGTGAGCCCAGACTCGAGCCTGAAGAAAGACCCTCGTGTGTTTGCATCGGAGCTGGATCTTTGTGGTCTCTATCTCTCTCATTAGAGTCCCGGGTTCAACAGAATGCATCTCAGCTGCTGCAGGGTAGAGCTTGGGTGGCAAATCTGTCTCACCCCCTGCCCCTCTCCCGGCACCAGAGACACCAGGAAGATGCCAGTCTCTGCTAAGAGTAAATTCTTTTTTTAAAAAAAAATGCTATTTTAAAGATGCGGGGTACGATTCAGGGTTAGGGGTACAAATAGTCGTTGTACAGGTAAAGTTTGGGCTTCGCTTTGGTCCCCCCGTCACCTGGTATGAGATCAGGGACACTTATTGATGAAGTGTGCTTCTCCACCCCGCTCCCTCCCCTGAACAATTATCATAATACTGTAAGGAAGGGATTGGCAGAAGTGGGAAAGTGCTGGGGGAGGATGCCAAGACACACTTCAAACTGCTAAGAGTAAATGCTTACCTCACTGTGGAGGCTCTGTGGGGCATTGCCTTAGTTAGTTCCCTGCTCACCCCGCCCCATCATTCACATTTTACAGATCAGGACACTGAGGCTGGGAGAGTCAGGGCCATCAGCATAAGAGGTCACAGAGTTTCAGAGTAAGAATGCAGACCCAGGCCTGGCCGGCTCTGAAGCCCATCCTTCTAAGCCCGCCCTGAGCTGTCTCTCAAGGTCTTGTTTTCATCCCGGGGCCCGGCCCTCCCTGACCCGCTCCAGAGACGGTTCCTGTCATCAGCAGGTAATAGACATGCTGACATAGATCTCCACAGGCTCACCCCTCCCTGGTGAACTCAGCTCTGAATGTTCTGGAATCTGAGCTCTGGCATCGCTTCTCAAGGACACCCTGCTTCTGAGGACATTGGTTTGCCCTGTGTGGCTGTCCCACTTTCAGGGGCCGGGTCGTGGCGATCCCACGCCCTTGGCACGGCACCTTCGAGGGCGCCCGAGAGCACAGCCGAGCCTCACCTGCAGCCTCCCGCCATATTTCCGTCCCCACCCCAGTGGCCTCCCTGGGCTCCTCAAAGCCCACATCCTTCTCGCCTTGGGACTCTGGTTCCAGTCTCCTCTGCCTGGATGTCCACCTTCCAGGTCCTCCCCGGGCAGCACTTTCTGGCTTCAGGTCCTGGCTCCAATGTTGCCCTTGCAAGGGCCTTCTCTGACCCCACGGAGGCCGCCCCAGCCCTGCCTGGTGGCTCTGCCCCATGGCTCCTGTTCACATCCTTATGTGCCATTTTTGTGTTGACTGACTTGAGATTTGTGTCCTCTCCTCCTAGAATGTGGCCTCCGTTTAAGCAGAGGTTTTGTGGATGTCGTCTCCCAGGCACACAGTAAATACCCATGAACTACTACTGGAAACTGGGTAGCTGGAAACTTGCCTGTCAGTTGGCTGGCACTCACCAAAGTTGTCTGACAGAAGTGGGGAGAGACAGACAGACAGACTTCCTGGGACGTGGGGACATCAGGGCAGAAGCGTGAGCACGAATGACCTGGTTTACTCTTGGGTTTGGGTCGGAGGGCAGAGAAACGCTTTGTTTCTGATCTCCAAGCTCCTCCATGCTCGCTGCGAAACTCCAGCAAGTCCTTGCTCACCACCGTCGATAGGTTCTTGGAAACGGTGACTTGAAGCGAAGCAACATCCGGTCTAAGGAAGCCAACTTACGGTAGGCTAACTGATATGAACAAATGATAAGCTCCTACGGTGTACAGCGCATACAGTTGTTGCTTCACTGGAAGCTGTGGCTTCCAAGACGCTATCGACAACATCAGGAGGGGACAGACTACTTAGGGGAGCTTCAGCCCTGCCCTCGCCCTCCTGGCCCACCTGGTGACGGAAGCTGCCAGGACCCCAGAGTGCCCAGGTCCCGCCTGCCGCCGGCTCACTCTCCTCCCACTCACCTGCCTGCCGCGACTTTATGGGAAGTGTCTCTGTGGTCTCCTTCCAGGTTCTGCCACATTCTTTGAGTCACCCTCTGTGAAAAGAGTATGGCTCCGTCAGGGTGGGCGTGTCTATTCCTGCTCCAGACTCCCCCCCCAGGGCTTGCCAGTGGCAGCCAAGTTAGGCCTGGTGACCTGGCCTCTCCCCTCCCACAAGTGGGTCACCAAGTCCCCCCCTGCAGTGCCTCCCCTGCCCTCTACAGGTCCCCCACCTGTGGGATGGCCCTGTCTATGTCGCCGGCTCGCTCCTGCACCCTCCACCCCACCACACACTCCCGCTGCAGGGTCGGCCAAGCTGCCTTCAACTCTAGGTGCGTCCCATGTGCCCCTCCACGACCCACTGTCTCTATGCTTTAGGCTGAGAGCTCCTGTTCCCTCCCTAGGAAGCCAGTCCCGACCGCCTGGTCTAAGGAGCCTTTGTAGTGTCCCGTATGTGACGCCAGTAAGGCTTGTCACTATGATCATGACATGACCCCTTGGGCTTTCTTCGCGTTTGAATTGCCTGCTTGACATTAGCTGCTGACAGCAGGGACTGGGTCAGCCAGGCTCACAGATGAAGCCCCAACCTCCAGCCTAGAGTGGTGAATAATGCTTGGCAAAGATGTGCTCTAAATTCTTGGTGAAGACACGTTGGATGGGTGGGTAGGTAACTGGATGGAGGGGTGAGTGAATGGATGGGTGGGTGGACGAATGGAGGGGTGGATGGGTGAAGAGTGGGGGAATGAATACATGAAAGAATGAGGGAATGGATGAAAAGGGTGACTGTATATATGGATGGATAAAAAAGTGGAGGGATGGATAGTCGGAGGGGTGAATTATGAAAGAATATAGATGGATGGGCGAGCGAAAGAATGGATGGGTGGACGAGCGGACGGAGGGGTATACAAACGGGTGAGGAGTGGGGGGGTGGATGGTGGCAGGAATAGAGGGGACGGCACCAGCCATGTGTTCCAGTTGCCTCAATGACGGTGGCAGGGAGTTAAGCCTGGAAGCTCAGCACCAGGCCACGTCTGCCACGCGCCCATTGCACACACCTTCCGGCCACCACCGGACCACAAGGGCTTCCGCTGGAGTTCTCGGTCGCAGCTCCGATTTTGTCCCGTCTCCCAGCCCTGGGCTTGTATTTTTCTTCTTCACCCAAGTAATGCCCACAGCCCTTCCCGCGCCCTCTGCAAAGAAAGCATGGCATCTTCTCCTACCTGGATATTCCTTGTAAAATTTGTGCCGTAGGATCCGCCCATCTGGAAAACAAGAGGGAGGGGAAAACTTCTTTCAGGAGTTTATAGGCCAAAGCTGTTTTCGCAATAGTAAGGAATTATTTGTGTTTTTCATGCTCATTCTCTCACGAGTGTAGGATGGAATTTTCCAGAAGCTACGTGAAGTGTGATGTTACAGGCGACTGAAAACAGAAGCAGACAGGAGAATAAGTCTTCTCTTAATCCCTGAATTATATGGAAAAAAAAAAGTAAGGAAATGCCACTCTGCTCACTATTTCTTTTTTTGTTTTGTAAGACAGCTATTTTTAAGAAAAATATTATTTTTGTTATTTTATAAATGAATGAATACATAAGTTTTTCAATGCCTCAACTTTAGTTTTTTTTTTTTATTTTAATTTTTAAAAATAGAGACATGGGTCTCACTACATTGCCCAGCCTGGTCTTGAACTCCTGGCCTCAAGTGATCCTCCCACCTCGGCCTCCCAAAGGGCTGGGATTACAGGTGTGGCCTCGGGTTTAGTTTCTAACATGATGAATATCCACAGCCATGACTCCCATAAAGCGCCATGGGGGTCTTCTCAAGATTTTTTTGAGGGTAAGGGCGTCCTAAGAACAAAAAGCTTGGGAACCACTGTCTTAACAAATGAACTGGAAGCAAAATTTCCACACTGTTCAGCACATTTCATTACAAAGCATGTTCTCATGGGGAAGAAATGGTCCTCTTTGGGTCTGTTCAAAAGAGACTAAAATGTCATTACTGCAGATGACAACATAACCTGAATCTGAATCGCCGCTCCTTCTCTCTGAGTCTCAGTTTTCCCACCTGAAAATGGGCACGAAATCAGTGCCTCTCAAGGTGATTGTGAGGCTTAAAAGACGTAATTTCATATAAGACACGTACATGAAGTATTAGGAGGAACCACAGGAAACTGCTATTTTATACATCAAAGGGGGTCACCTGCCGGCACTCTCACGTGTCAATGACTCGCTGTGTGTCCCCACGCCATAACTCTGCTGTCGTCAGCCACTGACCCCTGTCTCTGCCTCAGCCCCACCCTGGGGTAGCAGGAACACACACGTGGATGGGGACGTGACACGTGGACATTTCAGGTGGCGCTGTCTCCCAAATCGAGCTCAGATCTCTTTGGTGGTCAGCGCCGTCTTCTCACTAGAACATCCATCAGATCCACGTGGGCAGTAGTCGGGCTTGATCTTTCGATCTGTGGCCAAACTAAAGATCACCAGGGTGTCGGGGACCAGCCCTGACATCTACACAGGGTGCCGAAAAAAACGTGTACCCATTTTAAGAAAGGAAAAAGCCGTATTGAAATTGTAATACTCAATAGATACTGATAACAGAAGATGGATACGCGTCACCTCCGACTTCTGCAATTACGAGGTGCTCACTCGAAGTGTCCAGACACTTCTGATCACCGTGAACGACTGCGGGGCTTGCTGCTGGGTGGGGCCTCCCGGGTCTTCCCTTGTGCACGTCACACGCAGCACCGTGGGTCTCAAACTCATCACGAATGCCCGCAGTTATCAGGCGTGTTGAGGTTCTGTGGCATACTCAGCCTCCACGGTCGCTGTCCTTCCACACCACTCTCGATTTTCAAATGCCACTTGCAAATGGTCTTGCGCTCTTCCAATGACAACCGTGCTTCCATCATTTTCTCTGACTGCCCTGGTTGTATCAGGGGAACGTGTGCATTCATTTGATGAACACCGTCTTTTGAGCAAACATCATATGACACATCGCTGCCATCATTCAATTCCACTTTGAAAAGTCCTACACGGACAACATGGCTTAAAATGTGTATTTTTTTGGTGACACCATCCCCCACCATTGTGCAAGGTGGTGACACCCCAGGTGGGTTCTTTATCAGCAACTGCTGCCGTCACTATTTTTTCTTTCTTTTTTCTTTTTTTTTGAATTGGAATCTCACTGTCGCCCAGGCTGGAGCGCAGTGGTACGCTGACAGCCACGACACTCTTGGCCCACTGGGTTCAGGCAATTTTTCCACCTCAGTCTTCCAAGTAGCCGGAACAACAGGCATGCGCCAGCACACCAGGCTAGTTTTTCTTGATTTATTGTCGAGACGAGGTCTCGTCAAGTTGCCCAGGTTGGTCTCGAAACTCTGAGCTCAGGCAATCCTCTCGCTTCTGCCTCCCAAAGTGCAGGGGTGCGGGGATGATAGGCGTGAACCACCGTGTCAGGTTGTCAGTCACTGTTTTCCACAACAGCAGCTGACTAGGACTTTCGCAGGCTTGAGGGGAGGGTGGCTAAACATTCCTGCTCCCCCATGCCCCAGGGATGGATTCTGGCCTGTAATGTCGCAAGGAGACAGAGGTGTGTGCAGACCTTGGACATCTTCCTCAGGCCAAATAGAATTCACCCACCAAGGGATTCTACGTGGCTTCATCAAATAAAGTTCCTTCTGCTCCAGGCTTCACGAAGCTCGCTATGTTGCCCAGGCCAGTCTCAAACTCCTGGCCTCCAGCAGTCCTACCATCTTGGCCTCCCAAAGTCCTGGGATGACGGGCGTGAGCCACCGCGCCCGACCCTGCTTCACTTCGTCCTGGACATGGGTTGTTTTTGAACTGGTTTGGACCCTCAAGAATTGGTTTGACCTGGTTTGGCTCCCTCTGGTCTAAGAGGTCATAAAACTGATTGCAAAAGATCAGGGGGTGAGAAAGGGAACGCAACTGAGGCCAGCCTCTGAGGAGGCTGTCATTACCGAAAACAACCACAGACTCCAAAGAACTCCTCACTCACCCCACAGCCCTTGGAAGAGACTGCCCCTCCCCTCCACACTCCAGCAGGCTCTGCCAGGCCCACGGGTCCTCGGAGTTTCATGTCCAAGGACCACACACCCCACCCACCCACAGTGTGACTGGGTGTCCAGAGACAAGCAGTGGGGAGATAACAACGTTCTGTTCGATGCTTTCGAAGTGGCAGGCCTGGGCGGGACTGACCCATGGCGTCTTCAAGAGCCCAGGGAAGCAGCTCAGGTGTTATCAAGCCATTTCACAGATATAGCAAGTGAGGCCCCCAAAAGTTAGGTTATTTGCCACAGCCGTGAGGGGCCAAGCGGCCATGAGAACCCAGGCTAGCTGGTTAGAGAAGCCACCCCGTAGCCCCAGACAAGTAGCAAATGGGATACAGGATACAGAGGAAATCACAGCAATAGCTGTTCGGCTCAAAACCTTGTGTAGGCAACTTTTCCACAGTTCAGAATTCTGGGAATCAGGAACCAGGATCCTCCAGACGCTCTTAATACCTTACAGTTGTATTTGTGGTATTAACGATGTGAAAGGTGTCACTGATCTTATTATGTCTATGCCTTTCTTGCAGAGAAATCAGTTTCCAAATCAGACCAGGCATGGTGGCTCACGCCTGGCATCCCAGAACTTTGGGAGGCCGAGATGGGAGGATCGCTTGAGCCCAGGAGTTTGAGACCAGCCTGGGCAGCCTAGTGAGACTTTGTCTCTACCAAAAAAATTAAAAAATGAACAGGGCATGGTGGCGTATGTCTGTAGTCTCAGCTACTTGGGAGGCTGAGGCGGGAGGATTGCCTGAGCCCAGGAGGTTGAGGCTGTGGTGAGGTGTGATCATGCCACTGCACTCCAGCTTGGGTGACAGAGTGAGACCCCGACCAAAAAAAAAAATTTCCAAATCGTTAAAAAAAACTTGTGTAGCTCCTGCACCCTCCAGATGCTTTTGGCAAATAGGTCCCCGTGGTCAACATCAATCTTGACCAAGCGGCCGGTTATAAGCATCAGGGGCAAGAGAAGCAGAGGTGGACACAGCACCCTGGTGTCTTGGTCTGACTGAACACACCTTTGACTAGGTAAGCCGGGGCACCCAGGAGTCCCGGGCTCACAGCTTGCTCACATGCCTTCCAGACTCCATGCCAAAAAGCCAGCAGAGTCCCTCATCCCTGAACTCACACGGCACAGGAGGAGGCCTTGGATAGCACCAGCGGTCTTGCTCTGTTGTCCTGTCTAGTCTTGGGCAAATTATGCAAACGAAGGTGACAGCATTCACTCAGCTATTTCTCGCCTTTGTCCCCCAAAGAAAAGCACTAAGCAGGTCAAACTGAACTGTACTGGCAAAGTTCTGGGAAGCTAAGGATTCTCAGACAGTTCAAATTCCATGCAGTTTAAAATAGATACAGTTGGCTGGGTGCGGTCTGTCATCCCAGCACTTTGGGAGGCTGAGGAGAAAGGACCACTTGAGCCCAGGAGTCTGAGACCAGTCTGGGCAACACAGCAAAACTTTGTCTCTACAAAACATAGAAAAAGTAGCAGGGCATAGTGGCGCGTGCCTGTAGTCTCCGCTACTTGGGAGGCCAAGGCGAGAGGATTGCCTGAGCCCAGGAGTTTGAGACTAGCCTGGGCAATACAGGGAGACCTCATCACTATAAAAAAAAAAAAAGAAGTCTGAAAAATAAAATAAAATGGCTATGGTTGCTCCTTGACTCACAATGGGGTTACAAATCGGCAATCCACTGTAAGTCGACACCGTCGTTGGTGAAAGTGCACTGATCGCAGCTGATCTACTGGACACCATCGCTCAGGCTTCCCTGCCATAGATGTGCTCAGGACACTCGCATCAGCCTTCTGCTGGGCAGAACCATCCAGCAGGGAGTGTGGCTTATGATCAGGCGGTGAATAGCTCGTGTGATTTATCAACGACTGGCCAGAAAGTGAACAACAGAGTGGTTATGTGGGCCCCTGAAGTCTGTTTCCACTGACTGTGTGTCACTTTCACACCAGTGCACAAGGGCTGACAATTAGGTCCATGCATCATCCTAGAAAAAGTGCTGCAGGCCAGGCTCGGTGGCTCAGTCTGTCATCCCAGCACTTTGGGAGGCCGAGGCGAGTGGATTGCCTGAGCCCGCGGGTTCGAGACCAGTCCCGGCAACTTGGCGAGACCTCGTCTCTACAATAAATCAAAAATTAGCCGGGCATGGTAGCGCGTACCCGTAGTTCCGGCTACTTGGAAGACTGAGGCGGAAGGATCGCCAGAGCCCAGCAGGTCGAGGCTGCGGTGGTCATGAGCGTGCCACTGCACTCCAGCCTGGGTGATGGAGTGAGACTCCAACTCAAAGAAAACAAAAAAAGAAAGAAAGAAAAGAAAAGGAAAGAAAAAGTGCTGCATACCTCATTGCTTACTATCACCACGGTCATCTTTGAACATTCCCCTTGGGAAGCTAGGCACCCACGCCAGCGCCTAGTCTACCCGTCAAGGCCATTCTGGAACTATTTTTCTGGAATGACCATCGGAACTGTCATCGTATTACCCCTGATGTCCTGAAGTCATCAAATGTCTTCTTTCAATGTTTTCTTTCTCTTTGGGTAAAGAAAGAGGTCATTGGGAGCCAGATAAGGTGAGTAGGGAGAGTGTTCTGACACAGTTATTTGTTTACTGGCTGAAAACTCCCTCGCAGATACTGTCGTGATGCAAGAGCTCCGTCGGGACCATTTTGCACACCCCTTTCTCATGCCAAGGTTTCCAGGTAAGATTTTCCTGACCGACTCGCTACTGATGTTTATTTGGTCTGCTATGACTCTCGCAGTCAGCCGATGATTTCGACACACAAGTCAACACATTTTTGCAATGTTTTCGTCAGTTCTGTTTGTTACCAGTCGTCCTGTCCTCTCTTCATCAGTGATGCTTTCTCTCCCCTAAGAAAAATGTTTAATCCATTTGTACACTGTTATTTTCTTCATGTCTTTATCCCATAAACTTGGACAAACATGTCCCTGATTTCACTTCCACTCTTGCCCAGTTGAACAAGAAATTAATATCTGTTCGTTGCTCTAATTCAATCACCAACATTCACGCAACGACAGCTCTGATGGCCATTCCAGAAAAAGAGTTCCAAAATGGCCTTGATGGGTGGACTAGGCGCTGGCGTAGGTACATAGCTTCCCAAGGGGAATGTTCGAAGGTGACCGTGGTGATAGCAGTGAGGCATGCAGCACTTTTTCTAGGATGAGCTCAAGAATCTAATTGTCAGACCTCAGAAAGTCGAAAAATCTTAACCCTGACCCATTGTGAGTCGAAGAGGGGTTCACAGGGGGCATGAGATTTCCAGTGTTTACTGACCTGTTCTTGCCTAACTCTGTTCTGAGGACCTGCATGTGGGATTCCAGTTAATCCTCATAACAGCATGAAGTAGCCCCGTTTTACAGATGAGGAAACTGAGGCTCAGAGTCATGAAGAAACTGACCCCGAGGGCACCCGGCTATCCGGTGCGGAGTTGGGATTTGCAGCCAGTCTGCCGACTCAAGAGCCTGTGCCACATGCTTGAGTAGCGGGGAAGGGCGGTTGGGAGACGGGAAGACCCCGTCCAGCGCCCGCCCGGCTCCGGCACTGTTCCCTGGGGTGAGTCTCCCACGGAAGGGGCACTCACCTGCCTGGCGGCGCTGCTTGACGCACTGCCCGCGGTTGGGGATACCCTCGGCCATGTCCCCTGGGCTCAGGATGTGGCACTCATAGCCTGAGGGACAGAGCAGTGGCTCCGCCCCGTCCTCGGTGGTGCTGCACGCCTCAGCTGTGGAGGAACACGTGGGGTCTCCGTGAGCTGACCCGGTGCAGAGACCACACCCTGCCCAGAGAGGATCTGTACCTGCACGCTGTACAGGCTGTGCCTCAAGTCTTCCTCCGAGGCACGTGCGTGCATGCACACACACACACTAAGACACACACACATACATTCACAAACACACACACCCAAAGACACACACACAAACACACACAGACACACATGCTCACATCCCCCACAAAAACACATACACTCACAAACACACACAAACACATACGCACACACACACACATACCCACAAACACACACAGACAGAAATACACACATACCCAAACACATACACAAACACACACACATGCACATACACACACATACTCACAAACTCACAGACATATACATACATCCACAAACACACACACACACTCACAAACACACCCACACAAACACATATGCACACACTCCCACAGACACATATACACACTCACAAACACACATACATGAACAGACATACACGCACTCATAAACACACATGCACAGACACACACATACATACACAGAGGGTCCTCAAATGTGCTCCATGCATGGTGACATACATATATACATGTTCACGGACACACCCTAAAATACACGCCTACAGTCACATGTGTACACACATTTACATACACAAGTTGTGATCCAAAAACACACACAGAAACCTACACAAATCCTGTACTCACACACACATATACCGTTGCACACACACGTTCACCCACAGGAACACACACTCACAGCACGATCACGTGCATTTGTGCACACACACAAAGATTCAGCCACAGCCACAAAAACAGCCACACTGCTGCATGCACGGTCGCACACCCCGCAGACACAGTCACTCACAGATGGGGCGGGGCCGGTGCCAGGGCACACCTTCACACCCCCGAGCACTCGAGGCCCGGGCGTGCCTGGTTCCCCCTTCAGGACAGGCTCCCCCACCTGCTGCAGCCCCCAAAGGCGGCCTCATCACGGGGGGAGCAGTGAATCCCTTACTCAAATGGAGGGATTCGAAAACCAGCCCGAAGCGCCCCCCTTCAATTCTTCACCCCCAACTCGGGAAAGCTGAAACGCCTTCTGTCCTGGGCTGTGATGGGGCCATGCAACCCCCCCCTCGCCACCATCAAGCCTCCCACGCTGGCACACAGGTGCAGTGGCACACAGGGCCCAGAGGCCTGCACTGCCAACTCCCTGGCAGCAACCGAGAAGGGTCCTCGCGGCTCTGACCCCGCAGGTACCTTGCAACACCTCTTCGGGGCCGTCCAGGAGCCAGCCATTGCCACCGAGCCATCGAGGTTTCGGCTGCACCAGCCAGTCTAAAACTGACACAGCACAGGGTCACATCGAGGCAGCTGACTGTCCCTGTCTCATGACAGCCCACAGAGCTCCCGTGGGAGAAATAACCATGGTCCCAGCAGCCTTCCCCTGTCCCTCTTGTAACAGAACCTTTGAGTGTGGACTGGGGACGACCCTCCCCTGCCTCCCTTGCAGCTGGGTGTGGCCACGGGACATGGGCACCTTCTTGTCTCACCCTTGAATTGGGTACCTGCTCCTCCCCCCCCCCCTTTCCTGCAGACTGGGGACCACTCTGACCCCATGCATAAGGACATCAATCGGACCGTGGAGCAACAAGACAGAAGGAAGCTGGGTCCCCAGTGGCTTTGTGGAGCACAGCCACCTGCCTGCCACAGACACCTGCCCACCCCAGACTGTCGGTGAGAGAAGAGGTGGGTCCCTGTATTTCTGGGTTTTTTTTTGTTATCACAACACAGCCTGTCCTCTAGCCAATATATTCGTGACAGAGTCGCCTGACAGTGGACCCAGAGGCCTTCAAAGGGCTGAAAATGCAAATGTCTCCAAGGGACAGGAAGATGACATTTAACAGAAAGGAAGACCAAGCAGGGCCACAGCAGAGTGGGAGTATCTCCCGCCTGCAGGCGTCAGGGCTGATGAGTGCTGGCTGCCACCTCCAGTGTTCCCAAGGCCTCTGGCTTTTAGTTTTATTTTTAAACTATAAATCTGTATGCATATATTTTTTGAGTTGGAGTCTCACGCTGTTCCCAGGCTGGAGTGCAGTGGCCGCTCAAGGCCACTGCAGCCTCAACCTGCTGGGTTCAGGTGATCCTTCCGCCTCAGCCTTCCAAGTAGCTGGAACCACAGGCACGCCACCATGCCCAGTTTATATTTTCATTTGTTGTAGAGTTAAGGTCTTGACAAGTAGCCCAGGCTGGTCTTGAACTCCTAGACTCAGGCAATCCTCTCGCCTCCACCTCCCAAAGTGCTGGGATTACAGGCGTGCGCCACCATGCCTGGATTTTTTTATTTTTCATTTATTTTATTTTTTTTTTGAGTTGGAGTCTCACTCTGTCGCCCAGGCTGGAGTGCAGTGGCACACTCACGGACACCACAGCCTCGACCTGCTGGGCTCAGATGATCCTTCTGCCTCAGCCTTTCAAGTAGCTGGAATTACAGGCATACACCACCACCCCCGGCTAAATTTTTTTAAGTTGCCCATGCTGGTCTTGAACCCGTGGGCTCAGGCAATCCTTTCACCTTGGCCTCCCAAAGTGCTGGGATTATAGACATGAGCCACTATGCCTGGCCTATTTTTTTATTTTTTATTTTCTTTTGAGTCGGAGTCTCACTCTGTCACCCAGGCTGGAGGGCAGTGGCATGCTCACGGATACTACTGCAGCCTCAACATTCTGGGTTCAGGTGATCCTTCCACCTCAGCCTTCCAAGTAGCTGGAACTACAGGTGTGCGCCACCACGCCCAGCTACATTTTCTTGATTTATTAATAGAGATGCAGTCTTTCCAAGTTGCCCAGGCTGGTCTCAAACCCCTGGGGTAGGGCAATCCTCTCACCTCTGTCTCCCAAAGTGCTGGGATGAGCCACCACGCTTGGCTATAAATCTGTATTTTTAAAAAGATAGCTCAGTGGCTGGGCTTGGTGGCTCAGCCTGTAATCCCAGCACTTTTGGAGGCCAAAACGAGTGGATTGCCTGAGTCCGTGGGTTTAAGACCTGCTTGGACAACTTGGTGAGACCTGTCTCTACAATAAATAAAAAAAATTCTCTGGGCATGGTAGTGCGCGCCTGTGGTTCCAGCTACTTGGAAGGCTGAGGCGGAAGGATCGCTGGAGTCCAGCAGGTCGAGGCTGCGGTGGCTGTGAGTGTGCCACTGCACTCCAGCCTGGGCGACAGAGTGAGACTCCAACTCAAAAAAAAAAAAAAGGAAGCTCTTCCGATGTCCGGTCCTCCCCTCCTCCCACCACCTCAGACCATGTTTTCATAAAACGTCTCCAAGTAGGAAGCGGGAGGGTCGTCACTGCTGTCTTCACTAGGCACGAATCAAAGGCCCTGAGCAGGGAAATGTAACATCGGGCTCGGTTTTCTGGACCAGTGAAGCTTGCCACAGGCGCCTGTGGCTTTCTGGGAAGGTCCTGGCAGTGCAGACCTGGTGCTCCAGTGGTTCAGCCCTTCACACCTTCCCTAGAGCTGCCTGGGGTCACCTCCTGTATGAACCGACCATGCCCATGCCCTGTCTCGGGGTCTGCTTTGGAGGGACAGGGGAATGCAGGTGGCCACGGGGTATGAGGATGTTCAGGGCGGGGCCTGGAGTGTCCCAAGTCGTGTCAGAACTGTGGTTCTCAATGCAAAGCATCATGCTCCCCACGGAACAGCTAGGAAAGTCCAGAGATGTTTGGGTTGTCATGACTTGGGGTGGAGGATGCTCCTGACATCTGGTGGGTAGAGGCCAGGGATGCCGCCACACACCCCACAGTGCATACAGGATAGTGCCCCTGTCATCCTGATGGCTAGAATTATCCCACCCCAAATGTCAAGAGTGCCAAGAGCCAGGCATGGGGGCTCATGCCCGGCATCCCAGCACATTGGGAGGCTGAGGCGAGAGGACGGCTTGAGGTCAAGAGTTGGAGGCCAGACTGGACAACACAGTGGCTCCCAGCCACTGCAGCCTCGACCTGCTGGACTCCGGCGATCCTTCCACCTCAGCCTTCCCAGTAGCTGGAACTATAGGCGTGTGCTACTGCGCCTGGCTAATTTTTGATTTATTGTAGAGATGAGGTCTCGCCAAGTTGCCCAGGCGGGTCTCGAACCCGCGGACTCAGGCAATCCACTCACCTCAGCCTCCCAAAGCGCAGGATTGCAGGCTGAGCCACCAAGCCCTGCCAAATAAAGCTTTTTAAAAGAGTGTCAAGGGGCGAAACCTTGTGCTAGGTATTATTATTGTGGTTATTATTACCAGCGAATGGTTTGCTTGCCCCTCCTGCTGGCCAGGGGAGGAATGAATGATTTGATCTCCACCGAGAACCTTCTATGTGCCCAGAGACCGTTTTAGAGACGGGCGACACTACCAAGAACGAAACCGGGCAGGACCCCCTTCCGGCAAGGCTGACCCTTGAGCGGGTAGGGCAGTCAAGGAGTGGACAAGTGAGACAGCCGGTCGATCGTAATCGGGGAGGGAGCAGGAGGGGTGGCCGGAGGGGGAACTCTTGCCTGAGAAGGGGCCGTGGGGGCATCTGGGGGACGTTCTGTGCAAAGAGGGACCCCGGACAGGGACACAGGTGCCGGAGCAGGGACCCCCACACCCTGCACTCAGGGCCGCCTAGGGCAACGGACACATCTCTACAGTCAGAGCACCGCATTGGACCTGCAGCTCTGCCTGCTGTGTGACCTGGGGCAGGTGACTGAGCGTCTCTGAGCTTCCGCGGCTTCAGCTGCGAAACAGAGCTGACAACAGTCTCCACCCCCCGGAACTGGGCGAGTATGAAACGAGATGATTTATGGAACAGCTGCCGGGAATGCCGCGTAGGGCTGCGACGTGGGCGCACTGCTCCCAAGCACTCGGTCTAGGCAGCAAGCAGGGTCCCAGGGTCTGAGGGAGGGAGGGGCACTTTGGGGATTCGCCCACCACAGCGGGGCCCGTGACGCGCCCTCCCATCAGGAGGCAGCGCCAGTCAGCCTTGCTTAGGAAGGCAGCCCGGCCTTGAACCCAGCCCAGAACCCGCCCAGAGGCAGCAGCCGACGGTCCTGGCCTGCTTCGCCAGCACGACGGAAACGGTCACCGCGTGCCGAGCCCGTGTCTTCGCCGTGGCCGCCGGCTCTCCTTGGCCTTGCGGGACG